AGCATGGTACTGGCAAAGAAATAGGCCTGAGGATCAGTGGAACAGATTGGAAGACACAAAAACAAATGCAGATGTACTCAGCTACCTCATCTTTGACAAAGGAGCTGACCATCCTCAGTGGAGGAAAGATAGCCTCTTTAATAAATGGTGTTGGAAAAACTGGATGTCAACCTGCCACAGATGAAAATCAGACCCTTATCTTTCGCCATGCACTAAATTAAAATCCAAATGGATTAAAGATCTAAATATTAAAACAGAAACATTAAACTTGCTGGAAGGTAAGTTAGGCAGAACTCTGGAAGACATTGGTATAGGAAAAGACTTTATGAACAAATCCTCAGTAGCACGGGAACTAGCAGATAGAATCAACAACTGGGATCTCATCTTACTAAAAAGCTTCTGTACTTCAAAAGAAACCATCAGCAGAACTAAGAGACAATCTACAATGTGGGAAAAATTTTTGCCTATAGGTTTTTAAGATTAGTTAAGGCAATGGATGGAGAAGAGACACAGTTGGTGGCCATACCCTCATCCAACAGGATTCATGTTCCTGAAATTCTGATGACTTCTTACTGCAGACACCTGTAAATCTTTGCCCAAGGGTTTTCTCTGACCTGCAAAGCATGCCCTGCATCCTTTGAACCAAGAGGGCCAATGAGATGGCACTCTATTCACCAGAGTTAAGAGTCAGAGCATCAAGATGCAGCTTGTTTTCAGGTTTCCTTTTTTTCAAGTGGTATAGTTTAGGTTTATTCATGCCAGCCTGTGATGGCTAACCTATGATGCAGGTTTTGGTTCTCTCCCTTTATCATCTCCTTCCTCACTTGCCTACCGGTGCTTTCTGAGATCACCTCCCAATGAAACACCTGTGCTCTATCCCTGTCCCAAGACTTGCTTCTGAGAAACCTAAGAGAGCTTGTTAAGTGCTTGACATGGAGAAGACCCCTGATCAAGGCCAGTCAGCTCACTGGTCTCATGTCTTCATGAAGCAGAAGGTGTGTGCTTTGATATTACTGGCTCTTTGGGAGCAGTTCCTGGAAGAGAAGGGACATAATATATATATATAT